TAGGGAATTTCAGTGATATTAACGGCACTTCCAATAACTTCATAACTTGGAGAAATTCCAGACTTTCATGGAAGGTCGAAGATTTGTATGTGTAAGCTCCGATAAATTCCGGCCAATTCAGTAAAATTCAGAAAAACTTAGAATTTTTTGACAGTTCTATTTAGTTCAGGGTAGTAACAAGAACTTCAATAGAATTGAGAGTACTTCAGGAATGAAAAAATAAATAAATAAATAAATACATAAATAAATAAATAAATAAATAAATAAATAAATAAATAAATAAATAAATAAATAAATTAATAAATAAATAAATAAATAAATAAATAAATAAATAAATAAATAATAAAATAAACAAATGAATAAATAAATAAATAAAGAACTAAAAATAAATAAATAAAAATAACAAAAATACACATATATATATATATATATATATATAAATATATAAAAATATAAAAATATAAAAATTGAAGAACGTTAAAAAAGTTCCAAGAAACTCCGGAAATTTCCGAAACTTCATCAAAGTACCAAGACCTTAATTTAAATTTCAGAAACATAAGAGATCTTACATGAGCATCAGGAAAATGTGAGATCATTTTAAGGAAGTTCCATGGTATTCAATGCAGTTTAAAGAACTGCAAAAATGCAGGAACCTCAGGGACGATCAGATAATGTTCAAGAACATTGCGAGATCTTTTAAAATGTTCAGAAATCTTCAAGAGCGTCTAGAGGCCTTCAGAGAAGTATATAGATTGTTTTGGAAGGTTCATTATTTTTTGGGAAGTTCCCGGAAGATGATTAGAGATCTTCATATCAGTTTCATTTATTTAAGGAAAAATGCAGGATATTTCAAGGAATTCAAAGGAATTATGGAATATTTCAATAATTTCATGGATTTCGCGATGCTTCAGAAACAATGCGAGGTCTACAGAAAATTTTATAAATATGATAAAATTTAAAAAAATAATTTCCGGAACAATAGAAAAATTCATGAACTTCAGGAAAGATTCAAAACCTTAGGGAAGTCCAAATAAAACTAGGATTTTACTCGAATTGACTACTTTTGTTGGTCCGGACCTCCAAAAAGACCGGGTGGTGGCCAACAGAGTTCGAGTGCTGGTTCCAGATCCAAATTCATAATAAGTGATTTAAAAAAATACGGAGCTCTAGGATCTTTTCTACGAATTGGCCCCCTCTACGGGTGTTTCGGATCTTTCGAAGGACCGTTCCATGACCATCAGAGCGCACATACTGGTTTCAAATCCAAATTCATTCATGCAGCATAACAACAAGTTGGTGGGTTGGTTGTCTTTATTAAGGAGCTTTTCAGCCAGACGCTGGTTCATCTCCGATTATAACAACAAGTTGATTAAAAGAATCTAGATCCTATTTTACTAATTTTCCACATTTGCGGATGTTCCGGGTCTTCCAGAGGAATGCTTTGCTGTCCCTTGGGTCCACATTTTGTCCCAAATCAAAATTTATACATAGATCACAATTTTCAAATGAAAAACAAAACAAACATTTCATAGATAGCAACGCTTGGGCCGGTTGCTATCGCGCTGCTATATTTGTCAACCCGCTGTTCACCGAGAGGCAGATGGTTATTTCCCGCACTTCTTCGTGGGCATTCGCTATCAAAATGATGCTAATCCATTAGGGAACGTGAAACGCAGTGAATGCACCGGAAGAAGGTGATCCGGAGAACGCGCAATCACTGAAGGCATAAGCCACAATTTGCCTGAGCATCAAATCGATCAACTATAGCTTGGTGCAATCAGCAAATACAGCGAAACAAGCATGGAACATCCTCAAGAACGCTTTCTAGAAGATCACGGCGGATGCGGGTAAGGCCAAGATTCTTCAAGATGGCTAGGTTTCCAGCAGTTCAAGCTCAAGCGGACATGATGGTGCGTTCTTTTCCCAGCAGCAGTAAAGGGTCGAAATAATTCAACAAGGCTGGCGTAAAATGCTACAAGTGCAAGCGTTTGGGGCACTACGCTGCGGAGTGTCCAATGAAGGATGAGAAGCATTTACGGTAACCCATTCCTCAACCAGGCGCGCGGCTAGGCACGAGGTGAGTTGGATATTCGACTTAGATGCCACTTCGCACATGTCGACATCATGGCAGGGAACTTTGAGACGATGGCTGAAACGTACATCAGACTGAAGGCTGAAACTAGGCGGATTGGACTTGCGCATCAAAGACAAAATACATGAAAGGAAGAGGTTCTAGGGAAGACAATGTTAGCCTCCCACCCCGAGTTCAGATTGACGGTGACGAAATCAAGGTGGTCGATGAGTTCATGTATTTGGGCTCACTGGTGACCGCCAAAAATGATACCAGCAGAGAAATTCAAAGACGCATTATGGCAGGGAATCATGCCTACTTTGGACGCCGGAGTACGCTCCGGTCGAATAAAATTCGCCGCTGAAGGTGTACAGTGGAGTGCAGATGGAACGTGGAGGAGGCGAATGAACCACGAATTGCACAAGCTACTGGGAGAACCATCTACATTGCAAAAATTGGGTGACTACGGAGGGCTGGGACGTCGTAAGAATGCCGCACGACGACCCAGTGAAAATGGTTCTAGAAAGCGACCCAACACGAACAGGAAGAAGAGGCGCGCAACGGGCAAGGTGGATCGACCAAGTAGAAGGCGACCTGCGGACCTTTCGCAGGCTACGAGGCTGGCGAAGTGTGGCCATGGTTCGAGTAGAGTGGAGACGACTTCTTCGGACAGCAGAGAACAATAAGGCCTTAACCTGATTGGTAAGGTATAAGGTATGAACATCTACATTGAACAGAAAATTAACTTGCTGGCAGAGATGTTTAAATGCTGTTAAATCAGCTAAGATTATAGTAGAATTTTGCAAGAAGTTTAAACCAAGCTGGGAATTAGGTAAATTAATGTATAAAACAGTGATATCACCTGCCATACAATACGGCACTAAAGTAGCAGTTTTGACAAAGAAAGGTATAATTAAAATAGCTAACTATGAGAATCTTATTTTGAGGAGTGGATATACCAGTACTGTGTAAAACCTAAAGGTATTAAGTTTAATGCAAGGAAGCTACTAGACGTTATTATTTGGATAATTAGGGTGTGGAGTATTAGTTACGTTGGGCATGTTTTACGTAGGGATAAAAACCACCCTTTGAAGTTAGCCTATAATTTAAATTTTGAAAAGAAGGAAGAGGGTTGACCTAGTAAAACTTGGAACAAATCGCTAGAACAAGACTTCCAAAAATTCCAGAACATGGACAAAATAAGTTTTGAGGGGCTTGACAGAGAGTGAAATTTCCAATGTTGAGCCATCAGACGAGAACAATAAGCGAAAGATGTACAAACATTGGAAGAAGAAAATAAGAAGTGGAATGTTATGGGAGAGCAGCGACTTAGTAAAGTGGGGTATGGGAAGAAAAGCAAACCGTTTCCGCAAACCCGTGAATCCGCCAAATGCTTGTCAAGGATCGTATTGATTAACATCGCCGATGACATCAGAACAGCCTGACATTGTTGATCAGGATTTACCGGCATAATTCTCCTGATCCCGCGGATTGCGCGTAAGTGTTTCTGTTTATGGGTTCACCCTTCCGTGTTAGGTCCTTCAAACAGTGTTATCTTGAATACAGGCAGATGTAGAACTTGATCAAGTCATACTTGGACGACGATCCATTGTCTAATGGCTGTGCCTTGCAACAATGAGTGGTATCCTTTACATACATATATACATAATAATGTGAATGATTGACCATTGCAAAAATGCTTCATGCAAATCTAAGAAGATCGCATTAGATCCGTGGCGTGAAAGTAAAAGGGAATCTAAATATTTTCTATCACCCCTAGAACATATTTAGATTCTCTTTTCGCCTAGGAACATAGGACCTTAGTTTTTTTTTCTGATAAATGTCAAAAGATCTAAATCATTAACTAAAAATTGATTATTAAATTTCATGGTTCACTCCGCTGTCGACAAAAGCAGACCACTCTCGATGTGTGCCACGCGATCGTCTGTTTTCTCGGCAGCAAGCATTGTGTGGTCCTCCTCAGAAAGCAACCGTTTCGTGATGAGTGTGTGAGTGTTGACCACGTTTTGCGTCCATTGCTGCAATGGAAACGCTTTGCCCCCCGATGGCGTAACTGCCATACAATGAAACCACTGAAAGCGACTCCAGTTCTGATGGAGGAGGCTTTTTGGATAGCGGAAGATAAAGTGTTTATTGTGTTGTACCTTTGACTATAGTTTTAAGATGTATTGTATAGTGACCAAGAAGCCTCGGCTCTGTAAAGTTAATTCGTTTGAGTCTTATCAAATAAATTAATAAACAACAATATTAAATTCCATCTAGTTGCATCGATTTGGCAGGTGGTCAAGAATATTTTTCTTAGGAAAAATTATAAATACTGTACTTATGTCTCAAAAGCAACGATTTTACACAACAGACGAACTGAACAAAAACTAAGTGATCGTTCCAGTGGTTAATGAAATAAATCTCAAATTAACAGTGGCAATTAAAATTACTAACTTTTTCTGATAAACTTATCCTAATAACATGATAATAACAGAATTATGAATAATAAATTGAGTTGTTTATTGTGTACAAGACGCCCACTAGCTGAAGGACTTAAAACGTCTTTCCACTGAAAGTCTGCTGCTTGTTTCAGAGCTTCAGTTGAAGGAAATTTCAATACAGAGCTGGAAAAGGGCCCAACAGCTTTTGTAACCAATGCCTTCTCTACACCCGACCGGGCAGTGTAAGATTCAATTACAGATTTGCATGAACAGTATGCAGAATTTGCAATGTTTCGCGACATGAACGGATTCTGCAACGTGTAATTTTTCTGTTAGCTTATTTATCGAACAAAGTTTGTTTCACCAAAAACTTACTTTAGTGGAAAGTAAACATGATTCAGTTAGCGAACGTCTATTGTATCTTTATTTTTTTTTTCAAGAACCAATCACTAACCAGCCTTCTTCACTTTTTTTTTGTCCATTGCGTATGTAGTCAACGAGTGCTTGGACCTATCAGATCCACCTCGCCCAACCTTCATCACTTACACATCTTCTTTCAATTTAGTTGCCATCTCCCACCTTTCACACTACAAGCACCTCTTCAGTTCTCAGGTTACGATCCTTTGTAGCTAGATTGTCCAAAACTATGTACCTTAAATCCAGATTTATCCTTATTCCTCAACATCAACTTACTTCGATTCACATTCCCTAACAACGATCACAACTCGGCAAAGCAGTCTAATGAGTTTTATAGCGGTTATTTTCTACCAATAATGCCTTCCTGTATGCTGCTATCTTTAACTTTGAGCACTTAAAAAAAAGCTGAAAGATGAACGGTCCAAAACGGAGAAAGACGCATTTAGTTGTGTGTGTGTGCGGGCAGCCTAACGCGAGGTTTGTCGTAATAAATCACTTTGTTACAGAGTAGAGTTATGCTACGGTTGGCGCAAGCCATTATCAATGTTTCACTATTTGGCCTGTTTGGTAGTTTTTGTTTTTGTTGTATTTATAGAGTCAGTAATGCATTGCTAACGGTTATGTTTCAAGCTCATGGTTGCATTTGGTTTTGTCACACTAACGATCTAAGCGAGCGAACGGAAAGGCGCGGAAACGAATCGTGTGCAACGTTGCTTCGTTGCTATAACGGCTGCTGTACACGTGACTGGGCTAGTTTCTTTAAAAACGATGAAATCCATGCGGTTAGTTGGTGGCTTAGGAAGTATCTTATATGTTACATAATGGAACACCGTTTCTTATTTACTCAGTGGGAAGCACTCAGATTTTCCAGATCCTTGCTCGAGGGTGGTCGCGACAGGTGGGGATCGTCGGTGGCCACTATCGGCGGCAGGACGTTCTGGTGGAACTCGCCCATCACGTTGCCGGACGGGTAGTAGTATGCCACCACGAACAGTTTGCCCGTTTTGGAGATGGACTTACTGACGCCGAAGTACTTGCTCGCTCGCCACACCATCTGGCTAAAGTGACCGGTGTTGACGTTGGTGTGCAGCAGGTGGCTCTCTTTGAAGTAGTCGTACCTCCGGCTGGTGCTGTACCAGTACGTGGCCACCTCTTGACCTAATTGAATTATCAACCCGTTTCAGAATAAGTACCAAACATCACAATTACAACAACACTTACCCGACAGATCCGTGAGCAGCGAATTGGCGGGACAGCAGAAAATGTTCTGCCCGTAGTTGGTACGAATTTGGTAGTACAGCTCATTGGTGCTGGCCAAATGGTTCGCCCACGCCGTGGCATACTCGCACAACTCCGATGAGATGCTCAATGCTGGGGCACCGTGTCGCATCCGGTACTCGTTATGCCAACACAAACACTCAAAGATAAAATCCTTATCCATCACCACCTTCACTTTGGGGGATTCCTCTCCCCCTTCGTTGGCCCCATTCTTCGATCGGTCTTTGCGATCCGGAGTGGAATTTCCCAGGGACTTCGGAAGCAGTGGGCGATTGTCCAGCTGGTCCTGGGTCTGGCCGGTGTCGTTGAAGCTAATGTCGTCCAAGTTGGTGGCGGTATTGTTTCTGCGAGGGGCCTTGTTCAGATCTACGGCAGCGACCCGCTTCCGGAGGTTGGCCATCACGATGGCTTCTTCCCTGGAGGATGGAGAAAGGTGATAAGCGGATTTTAGTACCGAATTACAGATTTTTGAATTTCGATCTTGAAATATGAAAATTAATAGTTAATTTCAAAATATTTAAGAATTGCTAGACAATTGCACTTTCTGGATCAGAAACTCACATTAACTCAACACTAGTGTTTTTAGATCTCATATTCATATTCTATCGCGGCTATGGAAATGTTTATAATTTGTATCTGTCTCGTATGTTAGCATATTTTAAGTTTTGTTATTTTGTGGTGAAATAGCCCTGGGTTAAGAATAACTTGAAGTAAATAGAAAAGATCTTGTTTTAGGAAAATGCAAGTGCTCCAATCTAAAAACTCAACATTAGAAAAATCGTTATCTCGTCCCTTACACCGGACAAACTATGTCTATTACAAATTACAACCCCCTGTGTGTTTGTATTCGTGTTTTCAACAATGTTTGTGACCCGTTCGAGTTCAACATTTCAAGAAAAAAAAACTACTAGGGACAGTCCTATGGGGTTGTACGCAATGGTGACATAGGACTACGTGGTCTTTTATAAAAAATGTTATTTGTTAACTGCAGCAGGAGCTTGTTTTTTGTGTAGGAATAGGAGTTTGAGCGGAGTTCTTTCTGCTGAACGCCACGCACCGAAAGCACTGCTGCTGATGCCGACGACCGGACACCGCCACACACGGTGATTGGAACTGAATCCAATCTGCGGTTATGGGCAGCCTTGATAGCTAGCTGCTTGTGGGGAGCCATTCGTTGTGTGCTGGAGAACACCACCACTCACCACGCGATGATTGAATAAACACCGTTTGATAAAACCGTTTGGAATTCAACTTTGAAATCAGTGTTAGGGAAATTGCTTTTCGCAGGCAATCGGTGATAATTTTAATTAGCATAGCAACAGTTGCACATTCGTGCAATTTTCAATAGTGACATGTTGAAAAATGATAAAGTCTCAAATTTAACAGATGTGTAGAAATATTTCTGATCTATTGGTGGTAAAGTTATTGAAATTGGTCCAGGGACAGCTGAGTTATTAACGTTCAAAATCTTTCATAATTTAGTTACATGTTCCATTTTTGGTTTTCACAAAGTATACCCCCACATAGAAATCACAGACGTAGTCCTACGTCAAAAAAATTAAATCTAGGATAAGTGTGTGTTGATGTAAGTGTGTTTGTAAGTTCGTTGTAAGTTTATATGTAGTTTATTTAAAGATGAATCAAATACAGGGTGAGTGGTAATTCCTGTCAGTGTTTTTCAAACGTTTGTAGTTTTGGATGGTTTAATCAGATACATATTTGCATATTTTTCTTTTAGAGTGTTTTCAAATGTCAACACGGCTTGCAAGTTCGTTTTGAATTTTCATTCGATTACGACTCGAGGTAATCATGAACACGAAAAGGGAACTCGTGATAAGCCTATTTTTGTCACGGTGATTGTGAAATTTTGTTTTCGGACGAGAAAATGTTCCTGCTACAGGATCTTCCCAACCAGAAAAATGATCGGGTATATGCAGCATATCATTCTGATATTCTTCGTGACATACTGGCTGTTCAAAGGATCCAGAATGTTTCAAGAGTGATGGTTTGGGTCTGTTTCTCCAAAACTCTGAGGGTTCTATTGCTGTTCATTGAACCTGAATTTTGATTATGTTTTCAAGAACCATTTGCTTTCCTTCGTCAAGAAATACTACAAGAATGCACCGTACTGCTTCCAACAAGACTCTGCACCATCCCACCCGGCAAAAGCTAGACAGGTTTGGTATGAGTTCAACTTTCCGGATTTTATTTCGCCGAAAGAGTGGCCTGCCCCTTCATCCGATTTGAATCCTCTCGACTTCTATGCATGGGGCTACATGCTAGGCAAACTAGGGAATACCAAGGGACTAACCGTGGAAACTTTTGGCAACGTTTGATGAAAATATGGTACGAAATGCTTCAGGATATGACAACGCTTATACCAAAGAGGAAATGAACTGAAAATTAAACTTCATACTAGCTTCTCATTTTCATGACCATATACTTTGCTGACAAGAATAACCAACCACCATGTAAATATATAACGATCGTAGACTTAAAAAATTATGATCCTGGATTAGAAGTGCAGAGCCTTGATACACATTTTAAATTTGTTTTATTTATTTTTTTTTCATATAATGTGAGTCAACTATTACGCCTTTTCATATGTAATTTGAGCTATTTTTGCTATGCGCCACTTTGTTTATGATGATGATGATTTGGAATCACCACTGTAGCAAGACAACTGTCGGTTTACTGTGGAATATCCTCACTGTTCAACTTGATCAAGTTTAATAAGCTCTAATTTTACTCAACCTGCCATTGTATGAAGGGCTAAAAACGGTTTGGGTGAATCTGTGGGCAACATCGTACACGTGCATCCACGGGATAAATGAGAATCTCCTTCCAACAACAGGATCATACAACCGGTCAAAAAACAAGCCATCATCAGGGATGGAAAATCATTTACATTAATTTCGTGCATTCATTTACATTCATTTGTCTCTAACTTTTTTCATCAACAGAATACCGTAAAATAGTGTTTGAAGCTTTCGTAACTTTTGATATTAATCACAACTTTTGTTAATAGCTAAAATCTGAATCTTTTATGCATGACGAACTAGAGCTGGCAGAACATGTTATTGTTTTTCAGTGAATGCAATTTACATTCACTGAAAAACAATGGTGGGTTCTTATCGCTCTGATTAATCATGCATAAGAGATACTTTTTTTTTTTTCCTTTGGTTTGTTTTTTCCGTTGATCTTGTTTTCCGTGCTGAGCACCAATGCTACCGACGTGCCAGGAAGGCAGCTCCCACACCTGGACCCTACCTATCGACCCATCAACTCATGAACCGGGGACCAACGGCTTTACTTCCCATCCGAAGGAAGGCGTGATCAGAGATGTTATGCCTCAGAACATTCCGGCGGCGCCGACTGGGATTGAACCCAGGCCTGCTGGGGTGAGAGGTAATCACGCTTACCACTACACCACCGGCGCCGTTATCATAAGAGATACTGATTTGAGTTGTTTGCAAAAGATGTAGTTAATATCAAAGCCTACAAAAGCTTCAAACACTATTTTAAGGAATTATGTTGATGGAAAAAGTTAGAAGCAAATGAATGTACATGAATGCACGAAATTAATGTAAATCCCTTGTCATCATACAGGAGTACGTCCCAACAAGTGAGGAGAAGAGCCCGCCCTCTATTCACGAAATGTTAAAGACAGGGAGTTGGCATTTCTACTCTCTCCATCCATTTCGCTTCAATCGGGTGTACCTCCATTACCCAGCATTTAATGTTTCATATAATAATGAAATGAAAGATAAGAGAAAAATAAAGGAAAGGTTCTACATTTTTGATATGCGCCACATTCCCTCGAAACATTCTTCAATCTTCTCGCGGAAGCTTGTTCTAGTTTTTTAGGATATTTCTTACGACTTCCTCCAGAAAGCTCTTCTGACTTTTCATGGAAGCATTTTTAACGACCACCGGAAGATTCTTGCAACTTCTTCTGGAACTCTATTCTGGTTTTCCCCAAAAGTACTCCTGGCTTTCTTCTGACATCATCTGGTTTTCGCTCCAAGCTTGCTCCGAAACTTTTTTCTGACTGACACAGAAATATTCATACGATTTTCCCTGGAAGCTCCTTCTGACCAGAAGTCCTGCCAAAACCAGGAATTTCAAAATAAAAATTCACTGGCCACCCTGCTGAGGACATTGTACAATTCATTCAAGACATCGATATTTCGCATGATGATCTGTGGCTCCCCGAAGCTGTAAGGGTTCAAACATCTAGTCGAATACTTTGTTGAGTTTATAGAACAGCAAGATCTGATCTGATTTGGAGAATCCATCATATTTTGTTAACACACGCATATCATTTTAATTTTTGATTGGCTGGTACTTTCATCACCAGTCCCGGTCATGTACTCCGATCAGCCAAAGGCTGCGCTCAAAAACTGTGCGATTGAACGTTTTTCGGTATCTATTTCTTTACACCAGACTGCGTGAAAAGGCGTGGCTCATCGCAGCAACCGAACAATAGTTCAGTGCGGTCGAGGTCATGCCGGGTAACCAAGGGAAATGCGAGAGCACACCAAGCACCATTGCATCAGCAACACGGGAAAAAATTCGATAATAATGGCACATGAACAGCTGTAACTTTTAAACTATTATACCAAATAACTTAAGGGGGTAGTCCACTCTGGCGGCATGAAAAATAGGTCATTTTCACGAATTTTATTTTGAGGGTAAATAACGATCAATTCAAAAAAAGGAATGCATGGTTTTGTCAATTGAAATGTCCTTTTTAATTGAGATTTTTTTTGGTGCGGTTGGATGTTTCCTGTAGCCGCTGCACCAGGTTCCCCAGGAGACCTCCCGTCTGAGTCATCGCGGGGCGGGACGTCTGGCGGTCACACCATTGGAGCTGGAACAACGATTTTTTTGTGGTTATTCTCTGATAGATGACCCAGTCTTGTACGTAGCCGTTTTTGATTTGGTTGAAAAATAAAAAATTGGTGACGTTTTGAAAAAAAAAAACAGTCCGTTTGGTACCCTAAAATTGGAGATAAAAGCTTCCACCAAAAATCCATTTTTGATTCTTTTGAAAATCGGCTACGTACAAGACTAGAAAAAAAGTTACTTAACTCGAAAATTCAATCGCCGTTTAAATCGAATGAGCCGTTTCTTAAATACAGCGCCCGCCAATTTTGAAAACATCGTTTAGAGATAACCGCGGCAGCAGTTGGAACTACTAAGACACGCCGTTTCGCCGGTAACGGGCGGGTACTCTGAGCGCTCACCTGAGCACGCTTGGAGCATCTGGACACGAGTCCACTTATCGGCCTATAAATTTGGAACGATGTCACTTGCGGGCTTGCGGTCAAGTCTATGTCAAAGTAGACATTCCAAAGTATTTTTAAGCAAAAAAAAAGATTTTTTGAAATTTCCAGAGTGGACTACCCCCTTA